TTTATTTTAAAAGCCGTATGCAAAAGGGCAGACAAAGAGATCGTGGCTCAATCATCTGAGTAAATAATAACTGTTTGTATATTTACAATTAATTTATTTTTGTTTCCTAAAATATTTTGACTAAAAGAAAATATGAAAAAGTGGGCAACGCTGTGCCGGTCAAGCTTAATCACGTGACTAAAAGTTTATTTGAGATGAACTATACTAAAATATCGGAGAAATTCACGGAAAAAATTATACAGAAAAATATTTTTTAAATAAATTAGGTTTGGAACTCTGCCATCTTCCGTAATTGACAGCTCACTTCACGCGCGATTTTAGATTATTTGTAATAATTGATGTCCAATGCAAATCAGTGACATACTAAACATTAGAACGGAAAAAAGTGAAAAAGTTATATATTCAAATCTAGAAAGATATTGAAATATATAGAAAATACTTGGGGGGTGGTGGGTGAGATGAATAAGAAAAGTGTAATGGAAATAATATGACCTATCAGGACATTATCAAAGAAGAACTAGAATAATCTAATATACAGGGTGTTTTAAAAAACATATACCATCTCTCGTGGGGAGATTCTTCACGTAAAAATAAGATTATTTTTCATATCAACATAGGTCCGATTCTGCTTGGTTTCGCAGATACATGCTGTTAAAGTCTTAATAATTTTTCGATTTATTATAATTTTCTACCAACTGCTTTTAGTGATTCGAATGAAATTTTGAGCATGGTACAAAGAATACAAGGTATGATATTGCGCAGGTTGGTCGCTACGTCACAGGTGATAACAGGCGCTATTGGTCAGCACGCTCCGCGCGCCAGTTCAAATCGTCAAGATATTGTTATAAACCTGTTTTTTTTGTTTATATACCGTCATTGAATTATCGCTAAGTAAGTTACTGTGGAGCAATGAATAAGAAGTCGGGCTAGGAAGCGAGAGACCGGAGTTCAAATCTCGGTCGGAACATCACTTTTTATTTATTTTTTTAAATACTGTTGTATTCTATAGTTTATTTTTGTAGTATAAAAAAAAGAACTATTTACTCTGTTATTTTTTAATCTCCGGTATTAATATAAATTGATTGTTGGTACAATACCTCATTTAATATAAAATAATATTCTACTTTTTGAAATGTATCGGGCCCTAATTGTACCTAAAAGTAATATATTTTTAGTGATATACCATATTGTAAACTATTTAATATTTCAGTCACTTAAAAAGTTAATTTGCATTGAATAATTGCCTACCATTAAAGGAAATTTGAGCTATATAATCCTTGATGGGCATATTCTGGGTATGCAAATACTTCCTCTAAATTTTGGGTTTCGTTCAACCGATTTATTCTCAAAACCTGAAACATCTACATATAAAAAGAAGCACAGGTCACTAATTATAATAAACTTTACCCTTGGAATTACTTCCACTAATTATAATAAACTTTGGCATTTTCTACTTTTCGATGGGAAACAATAAAATTCCCAACATTTTTTAAATGATGTAACAATTCCTCTTGTGGTTACTTTTCCATAGATATCCTCATCTCTGTCCTCATGTGAATTCAAAGGCAATGAACATGAAAATTATTTACCATAAACATCGCAAACTAAAAACCTAATAAACAATTTTATACCGAATATAGAAATAAATTTAGTATTCTTACCTATTATGGTCCAAATCCATGTTAATAGATAATTATTATTTTTAAATATATTTTTGGAACTGCTGGTTTTAGTAATTATTAAATTAAACGAATTAAAAAGTCTTAAAAATAAACAATTCTTAATCATAACCCCAAAAAATGCAGATCTCCTGTCAACTTTCTTTATTTTTTATTTATTCATTATTTTCCTAGTGACGTCACAGGTGGTATGCGCGAACTGAACGAAATTGAAGCCGCTATCGATCATACCTTGTATTCTTTGTACCATGAATTTTGAGGGTAAAAGTTACTATAAGTGCTACATATTTTAATACTAAAAAACTGTCGATAAATTTATCAGGGACGTGCATATATGGATTATCACTGGGATATTTTTTTTTTATAAAATGTGGCACAAATGACTTTTTTCTTTTGACGTCAAAATTGTGTAGGCTGTTTAATGCCAATTAAAAGTTATCTCCTGATATTTTGTCGAATTCGGCCTCTTTGAGATAAACGCAATTTTATTAATCACAATTAATAAAATTAAAATAAAAATAAAATTAATAAATTGTATATTTTACCTAATTTATTATTAAATATTATTACTATTAGTTATTATTACTAGATATTAGTCCAACCTAGAGCAATTTAAAATAAAAAAATAATTGTATTTAAGATTACAAAAAAATAATAATTTTCATACCCATGTTTATAGGAACTTTTTTCATATTTTTTTATGAGGAATCAATGAGTACTTATTTAAAACTTTCGCAAGTTAATGATACTAAAATGTTTTAAAAGTTGCTATTAGACTTGGATCAAGACAAATTATTAAAATTGTATTTATCTCATCAGGGAGGCCGAAATCGACAAAATATTAAGAGACAACTTTTACCGGCATTAAACTGCTTACACTATTTCGCCAATAAGAGTAAAAAGTCAGTGGCGTACATGGACCTATCCATATACAGGTCCGGTAATATGATATCTAGGCATAGAAATTACATGCATTGGAATGAAACGCCTATAGAAAGTCTAAGCTTAAACAGAGATGGACAACAACTTCCCGTTTCCACTTCCACTACGACTGTCGAGTTAGACAAACTCCAATAAGAACAAATTTTGGAAATTCCGCCGCCTCCCATCCACCCATGATACCCATCCACCTGCCCTTTATCGCCATTATTTTATTTCCCTTCCCGCGCCTCCGCAAAACGCCTTCACCTCAGTCCATGAGTTGCCAGGTCTACCGGTTTCGTCTGTAAGCTACCGATCTACCGATATAAACAAAAATCTAACGATATGTTCAACTGCGTTTTTAGTCTAATCTGACTTTATTATTGTTTATTAAATTTTATTTAGTAATCATAGGTCATCGTTCTGTCTAGTTGCAGAGTAACAAAGATATTCCTACAAATCCTTATTACTCTTTATTAGGCGCGGTATTGGCGATATGCCCGAAGAAGTTGATATCTTTTGAAAAGATTTTGTTTCATTCATCTACTAAAGTTAAACCCATATTTTCCCCAAAAAAATATAAACAAAAAACAAAATCTAAGTTAAGAAACAAACTGAATACGGATAAATATTTTAGTGCTTTTCCTATCAAAAAAATATATTAATGTGAAAAAAGAGTTGAGAGTTGCTACAGCTTTCCCATTAAAATGAAATTAATTTTAGATATCACTGATCAAAATTTGTACAAAGGTAATAAGTGACTGCTATCCCTACTTGTTATAGTTTTTATTAATATATTAATATTGTTTAATTCAATATATTTTTTTTAATATTAAATAATATACCTCTTCCTCAACCCGGATTCATCCACTCCTGGATATATTTCTCCTATCTATATAGGTTTCTCCTATCCTTTTCCATGTCTCCCTGTTTTGTGTTATATTTAACCACCGTTTACCTGCCACTTCCCTAATGTCACGCAGGGACGTGCCCCTGCCCTAGGGTTCCCAACTTGAGCATCGGCGATTCCGGGACAATTATTTTTAAGCTTTTAAATAATTGAAACAAAACATTAAATATTAGAAATTAAAATATATTATGTGTGTAGTACACACTTTTTTAGTTTCCAGGTCCCGGCCAAGACAAAACTTTCGCCGGGACAAACTTTCTGATTCCTGGTTAATCCCGGCCAAACCGGGACGGTTGGGAACCCTACCCTGCCCACGCGAGCCTTAGCTTATCTCCCAAGACCATACTGGGGAAATCACTGTCCCATCCCATTCTCATATCCAAACCTCAAAATTTTCTAATCAAAAGCGTGGCCTTGAAATTGCTAAACCTCTAAACCACGAAATGTCGAACCTTAAAACAAAACTACCCCAGGCGAGTAGAACGTATGATTCAGAATCTCGCACTGAATATAATATACCTACCTATTTCTAATTCTTGTTATATTTACTGTATTTGTATTTTATTTGAGTGATCTAGTATTACGACACATACGAATACTAATTTTGGACTTAAATATAATATTTTATTTTGTTTCTGTACTTTTGATTTTTGTTGAAGATCTACCGAGAATTTTGTTCTCGTATGGAATTATAATCTAACAAACTCGGCAACCCTGTTCGGCTACAACTTTATAAAGTTTTTTTCGGTCTAATTCCTTTGTCGCCGCCGCCGACTGACCGGTCGGTGTCGGGCCGACTAGAAGGAAGATCGTACAGTATTGTCATTTCATAGAATTGCACTTGCTATTTTAGAAATGATTTCAAAGTTCTGCTTCTGCATGTTACTTTTTGTTTTAGAAAGAAATTGTTATGTGCCTAGAGAAAACATTCATAAAATTGTTTTGTACTTTATTTAATATTTCATTAAGTAGGCAAGATAATGGGATTAGAAGATTCGGGATTTAGGATAAGCCAACATAATTTTGATTTAACAGAATGGCAACACTGTCCTTCGTCTTTCTATTTTTTCGATTCTATTCTATTAGTAGCCGGTAGCCCCCACACAAGCGTCTTAAAGACCCGCCCCCTCACGCAGAAGCTCTCTCGTCGTATCACTTCTATGATCACTTCCCCTATACAATGGTAGGGAAAAGACACTTTATCCGTCTCTGTTTGTCAAGGACTTAATACTGCAGTGTATTTTGCAGCCTTACCATCTTTTTTTGTCGTATTGAAAAGCTCCTATTGCTAATGAAATTTTGCCACACGTGTATAATCGGACTTATGCTGATATAAAAAAACAAATCCACGCCACCACGATATAAAAACACAAATCCACCACAATAGCACATGTTTTTTGAAACACCCTGTATAACAATATAAAAGATTCGAGATAAATCAGTAAGCAGTATATTCTTGAGATTTAATAAAATATAGGGCATATACTCACATGTTATGACTACGCAAGCTATACGTAAAAGGTACTCGTAACAAGTCTTCATTTTCTCACTGGTATTATCTAGTCGCTTGACAATATAGTTGGTCCAAACAATTTGGACTGGAACGTAGCCTTGTAAGCCGTACGAGATGTAAATAGCTATTGAGTATGATATAATAATAATTTGAGCCAACCTGCAAGAGAAAACATCTTATATTGTTACACTGTATTTTACAATATCACTTCTCAATCGAAAAAAATTGGTCAAGTGCGAGTCGGACTCGCGCACGAAGGGTTCCGTACCATTCATTATCTATACATTAGACACTATATTATTATAAACTTTTTTTCCGATTTAGCTGAAATTTTGAATACGCGTATAAGTGATTTAAAAAAAATGAAGAAACACATTACTAAAAATTGTATTAATCAATAATAAATATGTAAAAATTAAAAAAAAACGATTAAAAAAAAGTCGCCTTGGCTAGGATTCGGACCTGCCTTACTACGGCTCCAACATCATAGCAGCGTAAAGTCCTAACGCTTTAACCAGGCGGCCACCCAGGACTTTCTATGTAATATAATTCTTATTTAAAAGATAATGTTTAGTGAAAGTACTTTTTTATTTATATTTATATTTATATTTATTTAATTCTGTTTTTAGTATTTGTTCTTATAGCGGCAACATAGATACATTATCTGTAAAAATTTCAACTGTCTAGTCAATCTGTAAAAATTTCAACGGTTCATAAGATAGACCTTTGTGACAGACGAACGGACGGACGGACAGCGAAGTCTTAGTAATAGGGTTCCCGTTTTTACCCTTTGGGTACGGATCCCTAAAAAGGCCAATTAAGTCCCAGATGTTAAATTTACTAATAGTATAATAATTTCATAATATTGACTATCAATTTTAAAAAAAAATCATTACAATGAAGCAACTTACAGTTCTTTGATTGGAAAGTTCATCGTTATGCTGGATTCTATTTGATCTCCATACTTCCAATAGCCCATCATGCCCATGCCAACATAAATGACGGTTACCAAACTCATACCAACGTTTAGTACTCCGCAAGGCTCTCGGAAGTTTTTGGGAGTGGCCATGTTGTTTTCTAATGTTATAACCTAGAAATGAAAAAAAAATTATCAAAAACTAGAAGGTAAAAAAAATATAACAATATTTTAATCATAATCTCATGCTATAGTCTAAAATTGAATATGCGTACTCTAAAAATATTGGAAAATCGTGGGTGTTATGTTACGATGTCTGGACACAAAAGGCAACGAAAAACGAAAAAGCAGATAAAAAAGACAAACTTGGCTGAGCAATACCATTCAGAGGTTCAGAGCTTCGTTGCGATGTTGAAGGAGCAGTTATAAAAATGGTCATCAAACAGTCATCAAACAACTTGATATAATCTCATTTTATACATCTATAAATGCTAACTTGAAAACTATGAGTATCACAGTTTCCGCAGAATTGCATCGTTAAATGAAACACATTAAAAAAATAATTAAATCGAATTGTTTAATTAATATTTTCAAAAGTCAATAACTCGGAAACGGTTGGTTTAAGGTACATTGTGTGTATTTCGATTTTTGCTTAGAATGGAAGGAAGAACCAAAATATGCAATAATATACAGGGGGTTCCATTTAAAAAATGAATCTTTTATGTGCCACGACTTTATGACCGACCCTGTATACTTAAATTTTTTACCCGCTAATGGACATTTAAAAACTAACTATTATTTTTATATTTAACTTTTTGCGGTACCTCTTATGTTTTACCTTATAATCGACCGTTCCCATACATATCAGCGACCCTGTATATTTTCAGCCTTTTTTAAAAAAATTGGCGCCGGGAGGCACGTATAGCCGCCCATACTAAATATGTTAATAAAAAGTTGGTAGGCAGTTCTTTTAGTTTCAAAGTAAAGGAATTTTTCCAATTTTTTTTATCTCAAAAACTGCGACTTTGACTGATTTTGATGTTATTACAAATTTTGTTACAAATATTATTCTTAATCTTAAATTGAAAACCGCGTTTCGCTAGCTACTGTAATTTTGGAGTTACGATTTTTTAAAATTTTTAACCCCCTCGCATACCCCCTTACCAATCCCCCACCCCCACCAAAAACTAATGGCCAGATTCTCGGGTGCCACAGTATTTTTGTGCCAAATTTGGTTAAAGTCGGTTTAGCGTTTTTTGAGTTATCGTGTTACAGACGGACAGACAGACAGACGGACAGACTGACAGACGGACAGACGGAAGTATTGCCTCATCGTCACCTTGGACATCAAGAACGCGTTCAACTCAGCCCGCTGGGATCGCATTTTGGAGGCTCTCGAGCACACGGGTGTACCCTACTACCTACGAAGGATGGTCAGATCATATTTCAGCGATCGACTTCTGCTTTACGAGACGGAGCAGGGAGCAGCTGTGCATGGGGTCACGGGAGGGATACCTCAGGGCTCTGTCCTGGAAAGTCGTACATAACATTCCACAAGAGTGGTCTTGTGGAATGTTATGTACGACGGTCTGCTCCACCTTGAATTACCGGCAAACACAACACTCGTGGCTTTCGCGGACGACGTGGTGGTTGTCCTTGTGGCGAAATAGTTGGAGGAGCTGGAAGCTGCATTCTCCATCACCATCAGGAGGATAAGACAGTGGATGCAATCGGCAGACCTGTCGCTGGCGGAGCATAAGACTGAAGCACTCCTAGTGAGTAGCCGGAAGAAAATGGAGACCATCACCATCAGAGTAGGCGACCATGATATCCAGTCGCAACCTCATATCCGGTACCTTGGAGTGGTCTTGGATGAGAGGCTCAACTACAAGGAGCATATCTCCAGCGTCAGCAAGAAGGCGGGAGCAGTTCAGGGCGCACTCTCACATGCCCAATATCGGAGGCCCCAGGCAAACCCGGAGACGATTACTTGCAACAGTAGTTACCTCCGTCCTGCTATACGGAGTACCGGTGTGGTCAGAATCGCTAGAACTAAAAACATACCGCAGGACAATGACATCAGTCCACCGACTCTCAGCGATCAGAGCGGCGTCAGCATACCGGACGGTATCACAGGATGCGCTGAGTGTAGTGGCATCTAGCCTGCCTATCGACATCTTGGCGGGAGAACGCCAGGGACAACACCGTAAGAAGAAAGCCGAGCAGCGACAGGTCTTCTGTGAAGAAGAGAGGCCTGAAAGTCATCGTCTCTGGCAAGTGAGATGGGACAGCTCGACGAAAGGTCGGTGGACACATCGACTAATTCCGGATGTCACCAAATGGATCACCCGTGTGCACGGGGAGGTTTGATTCTACATCACTCAACTCTTGACTGGGCATGGATGCTTTCGAGCATATTTGCACAGATTCAAGAGATGTGACTCCCCGAACTGTCACCATTGCCGCGTGGTGACCGAAGATGCGGAGCACGTGTTCTTCCGATGCCCTCTATACGAGGAGATAAGGACGGAACTCGAGAGAAATCTAGGCTTGTCCATCAGACATGGAACAAGGTAGCGGAGTATGCTGAGATCATACTCAAAGATCTTCGCACTTGAATAGACAGCAGTAACACCAAATAAGAACGCCCCGGCGAAGTAGTATTTACAAAGAGTGCCGCCGGGGAAAGAACGTTTCTGGAGAGAGGACAGAGGTGTAGGTTAGGTTTTAGTGAGGTAAAAATCCCACATAACTCGTCTGGCACATAGTAGGTCTTCCCAGGCGAGTACCTGTTGCAGGTTCTCCCCTTCACCTCTTAAATCTAAAAAAAAACAAAAAAAACGGACAGACGGACGGACAGACAGACACCATGAAAATATTTTGTATTTAGGTCATTTATGATCCAAATAACTAATTTTGAGTGGTCGGCTACAAATATTAAAAATACAAGAACCGTCCTCAAATCAAAACTATATTAGGTATTTACTTTAAATGGTCTGTAGTTACTTCGCTATAAATATCGGAATCTTAAATCATACAATACCCTGTATTTTATACCCGAAATTTTACGCCAAACTATCTAAAATATAAAATAGTTTTTCTTCGTTCTTTTTTTAAATGGAACAACCCTGTCGATTACTATTTTATTAGATGGAGAATTAAAAAATAAACATTTTTAGAATTTAGAATATTTCTAAATGTTTAACAATTTCGCAGATACTCGCGGTATTATTTCATATGGCTCTTTCAACGGTAAAATATGAGGGAAAAATCATTGGGTGGCTTTGATAAAAATTTACTGTGGAAAATGGATACCATCAAAACTTTTTCACATGTAAGTCTGTACGCTGTTTTCATGAGTTTTGTCCATTTTTAAAGAATACTGTTTTTTCGGTTAGATTCTTGCAAGAAGTGTAGACGTTCTTCTTTATTTACCAAAATTCATAAATATTGACAAAATGCATCTAGAACATCTCCTCCTCGAGTGATTAAATTGGATAAATATATTTGATTGAACTTACCACTCCCACAGCTTGCAGAGAGAACAGCGTGGTTCCAAAATACAGCGGATAATCCGCCACGGCCCCCACAGCAGGCCTGTCGCTGAAATCAGGCAGGCCACGGAAAATGTACCAGCAAACCACTCCGAACGTGATCAGAGTAATCACGTTGGCCAGCACGGAGAACGGCGCCAGCAATTTGAGATTCTTGATGCAGAGGATGAGCACGAACGGTACGAAGATGAGCACCATGTAGAGGTAGAGGCTCCATGGCGACGAGGTGTAGACGTCCCCGACGTACTTCAAGTTCTTGCCAACGAACACGACGTACACGCAACAAATGCCCATCTGGTAGAAGATGAGGAAGAAGTTGGTCAGGCCTCTACAAAACAGAAAATTAGAATTATTTTCTTCTAACTTCTTAGTAGTAATGGGATAACTCGAGCGAAAATGCGCTCGAGTACTCGATTAGTGAAATAACCTACATCGCCCGATTATGAACGAGCGATGCAAGTGACGAGTTACGAGCGACGAAGGCAAGCAATGAAATAATATGAAATGAGTGACATATTCGATAAAAAGCCGAGCGAATTTTGTACATACATTGCAGGTAGCAAATTTATACGACGTTATCCATTGCGTATCTGAGTGATAAAATTTTACGACCTATATCGACAATAAGCATTGTTACTCTTACGTTCTTGTTACTTACTAAGCGACGAGTAATTGCCTTGATTTAGTTTATTTTTAAGCAAAAATAAACTAAATCAAGGCAATTACTCGTCGCTTGCTACTTGCCATTCATCACCGAAAAATTATGAGCCCTGCGCGCGCAACTTACTGCTTGACGTCAGGAGTACAACCCGTATTTCTAAATACGAGCGAAATTTCGCTCGAGCGATCGCTCGATTGTTGAAGTCGCTTGAAACTCGATACTCGATTATTAAAATTAATCCGTTTTTTCCATCGCTACTTCTTAGAGTACTTTTACACTTAAAAGACAGTTTAATGTTATATTGTTTAGTTATGAACTGAGGCGTCAAGTTGCAAAACCCGTCTGATCCCAAAAAGTTTCGAGAAAAACGCAAAAACTGTTTTAGCAAATGTTTCAAGCGTTATTTTAGGAAAAAACGTGGCCATTGAATGGAATCATTGTTTTGTATCTCGTTTTTCTCTGAATAAACATTAATATTTAATTTTTAAAGAGAAAAAACACAAAACTAATTCGGATAAGGCGGGTTTTGCTACAGCAAGATATTTGCATCCTAACTTGAAATTATTTGGTATGATATTTTTTTAAAATTGGGTAAGGATTTTAAATGGAAGGGCACGTGCCGTTCGTACTCAGGCTGGCCCATTAGTGCGAGGAAGTCTAATAACATCGCTGTTGACGAACATATGAAAAAAAATTATACAGATGTTGCATGGTTTATAATGGAGCATATCCTAAAAATATTTTGTTGTATACCGGGAGTCACATAAAAAAGTTATGATAAAGTTTTAAGTATTTTTAAATTGCACCCCCCCCCCCCATTTTTCTGTAAATAATTGGATTTGCCATAAAATCCTGTATATAGTACACTATTTTTATTTGAAGCACTCTGCGGTGTTTCCATTCTATTTCTTATTTTTACTAAAACTTTGGTTAAAAACATTATATCCAAAAAGTTGTGAAAAACTAGAGTGAATATAACTTGTTTTGCTAAACATGAAGGATAATAGAATAAATTCGTGTAGGAAAAATTTACATTATCCTATACAGGATATTTTTTATGGCATTACCAAAATCGAAATATTTAAAATGTTGTATCCATAGACTTAAAATAAAATATAGACTACACTATTTACATCTCAACGCGGACAAACAACCTTTTTTGTAAACATGTTTACTTCTGGGTACAGTCGACCGAGCCTTCCTCATCCAGCCTATGTTGTCACGTCTTTAATATTATCAATATTTTTTTTCTTGTTATACACATATATTGAGATATTAATACTACAGTTTAATAAAGTAGGTTTTAATATTCCATAGATGTATTAAATAGTCCTTATACTCCTAAATTATAAGTGGGATACTGTTTAATAAGGATAAGTTCTTTACAATATGACAACACCGATTAGAGGCGAGGGAGCCTATTCATTCATTTATTACCTTGTAGTACGTGTCGCACGTGTGCGGTAAAGCTTTGTTGCCGCTATCTCCCCGGCTGTATTAACGCATTTTCTTAGCTTGTAGTCCTTAAGTGTTTATTTTATTGACTTTTTCTGTTCAAAAACTATAAAATATGGTTCGCCAGTGCCAAATTTGCAAGAAATTTGACTTTAATAATCCATTTAAGTCTTGAAACGACTTTTGACCGGTAGGCAACTCTCAATTTACCCATTGGGAGTCAGTGGCGTTGTTGTAGAAAGGCGCTTATTTAGATAATATTTTAGTAAAATGTAAAATCTGAATTTTTTCTCTTACATTACATTATTTACTTACTTACATTGTAACAAAATCATAATTATAACCCTATTAATAATTAATAATGTTTTTATTAAAAATATATTCCGGTTTATTCTAAAATTATCTTCAGAATCTAAAATAACATACAAGAATTTTAAAATGATATTACATTATGAAACAATATTTTTTAATATACCGGATCGTCTCAAAAGTGGCTCAACCCTATAACTTTTTTATTTTTTCAGATAAAATTGTATGTTGTATAAAATAGATTTGTATGTTAGTAGGTATATGCCATAAATTAGGATTTATTGACGTATTCAATTGTTTTTGGTCTCTTCCTGTTTCACCGAAATGATTACATCTTTTGATTTTTAAAGGCACCCTCGGCTACTTTACTCGATAAAAAATGACACTCTGAATAGAATGACATAATATCATATGTCAACTTTTGACATTGTCGCTTAAAAATATATCCTATTTTAAATTTCAATCCAGGGTGCCATGGTGTTGTTAAAAACACTAAGTTTTAATCAAGGAGCCTTGGAAAAATAGTTTTGATCGTCTAATAGGTTTCGTGTCTTGTCTAGGCTGGTTAAAAGATGTACAAATCGTATTTTTAATCATACATATGTCAATTTTTTCAAATGGAACAAGGGTGACTCATTAGCATATTTGGAAAAAGCATTTTTTTATGAATATATTGATACCACACAGTTGGTATTTCGAGTCAAATTGTCGTTATGAACCGCGTGTTACAATTACAATTAAACCATATGCGAAAATGTCAAAAGTTGACATATTATATGTCATTCTATTCAGAGTGTCATTTTCTATCGAATAAAGTAGAAATATACCGAGGGTGCCGTTTAAAAATTAAAAGTTATAGTCATTTCCGGTGAAATAGGAAGTGACCAAAAACAATTGAATGCGTCAATCAATTCTAATTTATGTCATATACTAATATGCTAAATCTTGTTTTTTATTTGAAAATATAAAAAATTATGGGGATGAGCCACTTTTGGGACGCACCCGTATAATAAAGACAGTACCGAGTTAAATAAATGTAGTATTCATTTTATCCACTTCCTATCATCTTCCTTGCTTTAATGGAACAGATTTATGTTTTCTCTAATTTACATAAGACATCACTTAACCAGAAAAAACATTACAACAATCATATTTTTTTTTCTCTCCCTGTCGCCGACTCTATTATATCTGTGGAATAGATCCTGTTTTGATTAATATTAGGGATTGTAAATGTTTGACTAAAATTAATAATTTATTATTAATTTCAAAAATTACATAATTTCGATTATAAAATTTCTTCTATAACGTGTATTTTATTATTTTTATCCTTTTTGGACTCTTAGACGTTTTTTCTAAACTTTTATTTAAAAAACCTGTCCTAAATCTTAATAAAATATAAAAAAGGTTAAATACGATATATTTTTAATTTATAGTTTCATTAAAATAAAAAAATTACCCGGCTATGAGACGGAGAGTTCAGGTGTACTTGAGAAACGAAAGACAGTGTTGTGTTTCTCGGCAGAGTCGTCAGGGAACGACCGTTACGACAGAGACTACCTATCTATCGCTCGTGTCGCACTCGTTATAACCTAAAACAATAACAAAACAATAACAAGATATTGTCTGACCGCATGTTCCAGCTATTTATGAATGAGATGCTCAGTCTATATTTTATTTTAAGTCTATGGTTGTATCTCATTTGTTTTAAATGCAACACTCTTTAGTAAAATGCAATACCACTTCGCGGATGATACCTGTTTCACATGGAGCAGCCCGGACACCACGGCACTTCATAGAACCATTTCCAGTGACTTAATCAACATAAAAACATGGTGCGATTCTAATTATCTGTGTCTCAACGTCTCTAAAACTAAAGTCTTATCATATAAAAGTACGTTGCTACCTTTTCAACTTGATAATACCACCATTGACGTCGTTGATTCTGTGAAATTTTTAGGCCTTGTTGTGGACAACTATTTAAAATGGGATTTGCAATCGATGCTTTAGCTAAAAAATTAAGTTCTGCCTGTTTCGCACTTAGATCAGTTGCTAATGTGCTTAATTTGTCAACATCTAGGACAGTCTATTATGCCCTTTATGAGTCGCATCTCCGATACGCACTTCCATTCTGGGGTGCGTGTTGTGCGACTCAATTTGAGCGTATCTTCAAATTACAAAAGAGAGCTGTGCGATATTCACTGAGGCTAACCAGTTGTGCTCACTGCCGGGACTTGTTTAGAAGATATAAAATATTAACTCTTCCTTCCCTATTCATACTCGAATCCGTCTGCCTAGTTCGCAAGCACGTATCGAGTATTTCTCTAGAGCCAGTTCATGGCTATCCAATTAGGAACGCAGAGCATAACATGTATCTGCCAACCCCTCACTCTGAGTTAGTAAAGAGTTCCCAATTGTACAATGCAAAAAAAAATGCACTATCATCTGCCATCTGAAATTAATTCCATTTCATCCTTTCCTGCATTTCGCAGAGCCTTGAGATCATACTTACTGGAGAAAGCCTTTTACGCGGTTAACGATTTTTTTATTAATATCTAGGGTTCTAAATTTAACACACATTCACTAAATTTAAGAAATGATTTTGTTTTCTATCCATTTAAATTTAGTATTGACATTATATACAGTTGTTTATTTACATGTATGTTTATATTTTATTTATATTTAATTAAATAAATTTTTGACAATGTACAATTTCTATAATTGTATAAAGTATTGTTTTAGTTTTGTATGTTTACTGTTAGTTTTATATGTTTTTTTATTGTTAAGTGAAGTTTTGTATGTTTTTTATATTCTTTTTTTAAGCTTTGTCAACAAAATTGTTTAATTTTTTTATGACAATAAAGCAATTTCTTTCTTTCTTTATATTACATTTCTTCCAGATGTAGAAAAAAAGGTGAACATTTTTTGTATTTAAAGTGTTCCTAAATTTTTAGCCGTTTTGCAAATATTCGCTGTATTACATTACACATGAGGATTACAAAAATTTACTGTTAGAAGAGCCATAATACTGCGAATATCTGCGAAACCATCAAACATTTAGAAACACTTTAAATACAAAAAATGTTCAACAGTAAAAAAATAATTCTGCATCTGACAGAAAAATAATATACAGAGTGTTGAATGGAAAAAAATTGAGATATAGCATTTTAAATATTCCGATTTTGATGATGCCATAAATAATACTCTGATGGAATAATGTAAATTTTTCTACGCGGATTTGTTCTGTTCTTGTTTAGGAAAATATATTTATTAATAAATATATAGTTAATAAAGTCATATTCACTATAGTTTTTTACCAGTTTTCGGATATAATGTTTTTAACCAAAGTTTTTAGTAAATAAGTAATAGAATCCCAACCCAACACCGTAGAGTGATTCAAATAAAAATAGTGTACTATATGCAGAATTTTATGCCGAATCCTATTATCTACAGGAAAATGAGGGATACAATTTAAAAAAAAAACTTTGTCATAACTTTTTTATGTGATACCCTGGATATTTTTAGGAAACGCCCCTTTATAAATCTTGCAATATATGTATAAAACTTTTGACGACGATATTGGACTTCCTCGACTAATGGGCCACCCTGTATAAGTGGATAAGACCGATTGTGCTGCAATAACGTAATTTGTAGTGAATTTTATATAGGAATCGAATAGGTGACATTTGCTGCAGTTTGATACTAGCTTTTTTCGTTTTCTTGTTATTACCGATTATGAACCGTCCTAGAACTCTGCAGCGCATATGCAAATGAAATAATGTCTTCATATTTCCTTCTGCGCATACGCATCACAGTTCTAGGACGGTTCAGAATCGGTAATAACAGGAAAACGAAAAAAGCTACTATGTTTACGTAGCTTTTAGAGTCCACTATTAATATATGTCATTAGGTCAATTTTTTTAAATTGATTTTTAAAGACCGGTTAGCAACTTGCTGAGGGCTGGCGCCTGAATTATATTCATTTTTTGACAAGTACTTACGGTGCATAAGGTGCGAAGCCTCTAAGGCACTGTGGACCCATTTCACAAGCCACTTTCATGGAATCTGGATAAGTAAGCAAAGCAACCTTCAATTTTTTACATTGTATATACTGGGCTTTCACCTGTAAATTATTTTTAACCATTTAAAACTAATATAATTTATATTCAGAAAATGTATAAACATAAATTTGCCAACAAAATAATACCAGATGTATGACGTACAGTATAATATCCCCGGATTGTCTTTACAAAAGGATTTTTTTTTATTTTTACTTATATAAAAACTTTTGTAAAGAAAAACTTATATAAAACTTTTGCATTTTTCTCAAAACGTCAATAAAAAAGTTTTTCCTCTTGTAAAGACAATCCGGGAAAATACTGTATATTAAATATAATCCAATTTTATTTGATATACCATTATACTAACAACTTTAATATATCCTAAAGAATGAAATATAAATAATTTTTATTGAAAATTGTCCCGTTTTATATTTATCTCTCATTTAATTTCTAATAAACTGTTTTATTTTTTTTTGTATACGAATGCTTCCAGAAAATTAAACTCTCGCCTAAAATTTAACACACCATATATCACATATAGATCTATATGTCATATCGTATAACATATAGCCAGTAAAAGCAATCAATAAATATAAAAGTTTTAATGACACAATGCCCTATGAGTTTCGCATTTGTTCCCATTACGCTTTTATGATTTTTTGAAGAGACGGAAAAACAAATAAAATTTGTATTGATTTTGCTTGCCCGACCTGTGGCCCGACCTTTAAGTTTCTCTTTTTTGATTTTAAGTACCGTATGATCGGAAAAAGGCGTTAAGTGGGCTTGAAAATGAGAATCGATCACATTTTTTATATAATCTAAATAAATAGAGTCAAGTCCGATCAGTTACATCATTTATAATACAAAATGTCATTCTAACAGAATGTCAACGGTTTTTGTAGACGTATCTGTTTTAAAAAACTAAAGTGTTCTCGAATAGTAGAATTTAAATATTTTAAATAGCTTCCGACGACGGAAAGAGATAAACTCTCCGAAACGTTAAGCATTTTTTTGTTCGTTAGGCAAATTTGTATAATGGTGGGTTCATACAGCCAAATAAAATAAAATAAGAATAAAATAAAATAAGAAATAAGGAAGTCTTATTTGTGTGCGTTCATACAGTCAAATAAAATAAAATAAGAAATATATATTTGCTCATGCGCAGTACGATGAGGCTGGATAAAAGTTAACTTTTACGATTGTTTATAGTAATTTTACTATTTATAGTATATTTATTTATTCGTTGCCTACTATATTATACATTTTACTTATGTGAAATTATAAAATAAATTAAATCCAAACTGAAAATATTTGTAGGTTAGAATTAAGCGTGCGCAAAGCCGTTTTCACATAAAATAAAACAAGAAGTTAAAAGATAAAGACTTCTTATTTTATTTGTTATTTTATTTGGCTGTATGAACGCATGTACGGTATCCCATATAACCAACTTTCTTATTTTATTTTATTTTATTCTTATTTTATTTTATTTGGCTGTATGAACCCACCATAACTGTAAACATAACTTCTGACAAGTAGTTTCCGTTTGGGATTCACGCAGAAGTGTTTGCAAAAAATAACTATTTTATTTTATAGATTTTCTTGCAGTGGCGAAAATAGAGGATTTTTTGGAGAGACATCATTTATAACTCTATTTATAAATCAAGACAAGATCGGCTTTGCCGATTTCAATGATCTCTGATTTGTTGGATTTGTCTCCTCCCCGAATAGCAGAATAGTTATTAAAATATCGAAAAAATTCACAGAAAAGAATATACAGAAAATAAATTTTTAAATACTTTTAATTGGAACAATTATTATAAATTTGGTTTGGAACTCCGCTCACGTCACGCACGCTTATAGATTATTGGAATTAATTGATGTCCACTTCAAATCAGAGACATACTACATTATAGAATAGATATTCAACGAAAATTAGTCCGTGGTATTTTAATTTTAATATTAGAAAAAATATAGAAACGAAATTAATTTCATTCAACTGGTGCGTCTCAAAACTGGCTCATCCCCTATAACTGTTTTATTTTTTCAGATAAATAAACGAGATTTGGTATGTTAATTATGACATAAATTAAGATTGATTAACGCATTCAATTGTTTTGGTCACTTCCTGTTTCACCGGAAATAACTACAACTTTGGATTTTTAAATGACACCCTCGGTATTTTTTTATTTTATTCGATAGAAAATAACACTCTGAATAGAATAGCATAAGATTAAGATTATCTAATAGATTTCAAGCAATTTAAGAAAATGTGCGAAGAAATCGATACATTTAGCATCGAATATCTCGAGAACAAAATGTGCAAATCTCAAAAACAAAACAGTTTTGTGAAGTACGCATTTGGGTCTACAACATATTATAAAATAATAAAAATCGGTTCTCCAAAATTTTTTCGTCAAAAAATTTCCTCGGACCCCCCTGTCGATTTTGTCAAAACAGATAATGTCTCAGATTGCAACTAAAATATACTTACCCATAGCTAATTTACGCAGAATCCACTGACAAAAAACCGCAGAATGATATCTCTAATAGATTTCAAGCAATTTGAGAAAATGTGCGAACAAATCGATACATTTAGCAGCGAATATCTCGAGAACAAAATGTGCAAATCTCAAAAACAAAACAGTTTTGTGAAGTACGCATTTGGGTCTACAACATATTATAAAATAATAAAAATCGGTTCTCCAAAATTTTTTCGTCAAAAAATTTCCTCGGACCCCCCTGTCGATTTTGTCAAAAAAGAAAATGTCTCAGATTGCAATTAAAATATACTTACCCATAGCTAATTTACGCAGAATCCACTGACAAAAACCGCAGAATGATATCTCTAATAGATTTCAAGCAATTTGAGAAAATGTGCGAACAAATCGATACATTTAGCAGCGAATATCTCGAGAACAAAATGTGCAAATCTCAAAAACAAAACAGTTTCGTAAAGTACGCGTTTGGGTCTACAACATAAAATATTATAAAATAATTAAAATCAGTTGTCCAAAATTTTTTCATCAAAAAATTTCCTCGGCTCCCCGCTGTCGATTTTGTAAAAAATGAAAATGTTTCAGATTGCAACTAAAATATACTACCGACTACTAATTTTGCATAGAATCCACTGACAAAAACCGCTGAATGATATCTCTAATAGATTTCAAGCAATTTGAGAAAATGTGCGAACAAATCGATACATTTAGCAGCGAATATCTCGAGAACAAAATGTGCAAATCTCAAAAACAAAACAGTTTTGTAAAGTACGCGTTTGGGTCTACAACATAAAATATTATAAAATAATCAAAATCGGTTCTCCAAAATGTTTTCGTCAAAAAATTTCCTCGGCGCCCCCTGTCGATTTTGTAAAAAATGAAAATGTCTCAGATTGCAACTAAAATATACTACCGATAGCTAATTTTACATAGAATCCACTGATAAAAACCGCAGAATGATATCTCTAATAGATTCCAAGCAATTTGAGAAAATGTGCGAACAAATCGATACATTTAGCAGCGAATATCTCGAAAAAAATGTATAAATCTCAAAAACAAAACAGTTTTGTAAAGTACGCGTTTGGGTCTACAACATAAAATATTATAAAATAATCAAAATCGGTTCTCCAAAATGTTTTCGTCAAAAAATTTCCTCGGCGCCCCCTGTCGATTTTGTAAAAAATGAAAATGTCTCAGATTGCAACTAAAATATACTACCGATAGCTAATTTTACATAGAATCCACTGATAAAAACCGCAGAATGATATCTCTAATAGATTTCAAGCAATTTGAGAAAATGTGCGAACAAATCGATACATTTAGCAGCGAATATCTCGAGAACAAAATGTGCAAATCTCAAAAACAAAACAGTTTTGTAAAGTACGCGTTTGAGTCTACAACATAAAATATTATAAAATAATCAAAATCGGTTCTCCAAAAAATTTTCGTTAGATTTCAAGCAATTTGAGAAAATATACGAACAAATCGATACATTCAACATAATCATATGTCAACTTTTGACATTTTCGCATATGGTTTATTTCAAATTGTAACAAGCGGTTCATAACGACAATTTGACTCGAAATACCAAGCGTGTCATACCAAATTATTCGTAAAAAATGCTTTTTTCAAATATACCTACTAATGAGCCACCCTTGTTCCATTTGAAAAATTTGGGATAAGATTAAAAAAACCATTTGGGCATCTTTTAACCGGCCAGGACAAGACACGAAAAACATTAGTTGATCAAATCTAATTTTTCCAAGACTCCTTGATTAAAAATTAGTGTTTTTAACACAGTCATGGCATTCTAGATTGAAATTTAAAATACGATTTTTTTGTAAGCGAACATGTCAAAAGTTGACATATATGTTATATCATACGATTCCGAGTGTCATTTTCTATCTAATAAAGTAAAAATATACCGAGGGTGCCATTTAAAAATCAAAAGTTGTAGTATGTAATTTCCGGTGAAACAGGAAGTGACCAAAAACAATTGAATATGTCAATCAATTTTAATTTATATCATATACTAACATACCAAATCTCGTTTTTCATCTAAAAAAATTAAAAAGTTATAGGGGTGAGCCACTTATGAGAGGCACCCGGTATATGGTGAATTATTGTTTGCCAAACCAAACCAAACCAAACTTCTCTGAAATTTAATGAAACTTGTACAGGGTGTCCCATTTTAGTTGAAATCATACGGTATCTCCGTTATTAGTAAAGATAGGAGGATGCGGTTTGCTCAAACCTATCCCACTTTTTTGTCAAACGGACGATGCTGCAAACAAAATTTTCATAGCCTTCTTCGTTTCTGAGCTACAGGGTCTTTTTGAAAATTTTGCAATTTGGGACACCCCCTGTATCTCTGTTATTGTTAAAGGTATCGAGAAGGTGAAAACTGTTTATTGTAGAAGTTTTTACGTAGAATACAGTGGCGTAGACTGGTTTTCTACGAAAAACATATTTTTGTATGAAGTATGAACTAAAGTTAGGTTTTTTCAAATGGAACACCCTGTATATTTATAAATAATATGATCTGTCTTGCTATGAGCTTCTCAAAAATGTATATCACTCTATATTTATTTTCAGTATTTACTGCAATATTTAAAATATATCATTTTCTTATTAGTAGGCCGTGATAAATAACAAAAAAAATAAAATGGTAGATACTTACTAAAATAATCTACACATATTTAAATTTTATTTCGGATTAATATATTACACTTTTGTGTTACTGTTACCACTGAATCTGTAAATATATTTTTCTTTTTCTTATAACGAAATTTATTATAACGGGATGCGTTTGCAAATATCTAAAAGCTTGCATTATTACAGCATTTTTCAGGTGTTCGACATTGTTGTAGTTGCCAGGATATACTTTATAGGTATTTCAAAAAAACCCAAAATCAGAAATCGAGAACGAACAAATCCGGGAATCAGTGGGGCCATTATATGGGTTCATTGGTTCCATATGTTGGGATTAATTCATTAATTTGAGAAATAATAATTTAGCAAAATTCTAATATTTTCAAAGTTGTGAGTTGGAACCTCATCTTGCTAAAAGTATATTTCACGTAAATTAGCTAAAGGAATATCTAAAATTTCCTGTGCGGTAGCTTCCAAGATTTACAAATAGCGGTAGAGAGTTAAGTTTCCCTAATATATAAAGAATTTATTAGTGGCTTCCAAAATAAAATAAGAGACAGATAGCAGTATACTTTTAATAATTCTTTAGTTTCATCATTTTTCAATCATGGCCTACTAATAAATATGATATTTTAATAAAAACTTTTAAATATTGCAGTAAATAGTGAACATAAATATATAGTGATATATATTTTTGAGAAGCTTATGGTAAGTCAGATCATATAATTTATAAATATACAGGGTGTTCCATTTAGGAAAACATAACTTTAGTCCATATCTTTAAAAATATTCTTTTGGTAGACTGACTACTACGCCACTGTATTCTACGTAAAAAGTTCTACAATAAACAGTTTTCACCTTCTCGATAGCTTTAACAATAACAGAGATACAGGAGGTGTCCCAAATTGCAAAATTTTCAAAAAGACCCTGTAGCTCAGAAACGAAGAGGGCTATGAAAATTTTGTTTACGGCATCTTCCGTTTGACAAAAAAGTGAGAGAGGTTTGTGCAAACCGCACCCTTCTATCTTCACTATTAACGGAGATACCGTATGATTTTAACCAAAATGGGACACACTGTACGGGGTATTCCAAATTCAAGAGAAAGCATTGGCATTTGAAACTGATTAAAAAATACAGATGCAAGAATTTAAACTTTTAAAATTATCAATTATTTATTGTTTTTTAGTTAACGTGATTTTTGATGCATGCAAGAGTCTGAATAATCTTATAATGTTGACTTACTAAAACGTGAAGGCAGTAAGCGCAAAGTATTCCTATAAGAAACGTGGAAATTATACCATTTATCATCCCGGAAAGCAGGAAAGCCTCTGGCATTGCCAGAATTCCAGTCCCCAGACATCCTTTCAGCAGATGAATAAGTGTCTCTGCATTCCTGAAAGCCAGAAAATAAGTATATTTATTAAGTGTAAGGCTGTATATACATATAAACTGGGTAGATTTTTTGACTATGTTTTGAGTAATGTCTGCCCAAAGAAAAAAAGGCCAATTTAAAGAAAAGACTGTGTGTGGATTTTCGTGCATCTGTCCATCCATTAATACGATTATCCGACAGTGCTCTGATTGGTCATAGCGTTGATTGAAGAAATAAGAAGATGCACAACCTATGGGCGATTTCATGGCACAAAACCTGTCCGAAATGTAGCTGGCGTTACCGTCATGCGTCAGCCTGTCAGAAATGCTGTACCGCAACAGACCGTAGTTCTGCTTTCAGTCGACAGTGTGAGTGGTTACCGGACACAGGTTTGCCAAAACTACTGATTAATCCGAAGATTTACGGATTTTGGGTACAGTACATTAATAAAGACTGCGGAAATTCTATCATTAAAAAATTTGATATACTTAATATTATGTAATTAAACAAAGAACGGGCGTCAGAGTTGGCTGGGAAATGAAGATCGTTGTTACTTCATATATGTAAAATATTATTGTAAATGTCAATAGTCGTCATTTCCAAGCCAACTGAACAAATTTTTTCAATCATACGAAATATTCAGTACCTATAAATAAATTTTTATTTGTGTTGTTTATTCTATGTTTAACAGGAATAAATTTTCAATACATAAACGCGGATTTTTCATCCAAAGATATTTTCGTCAAACGTATTACAGATGTTACATATTTTAATATGGCAACACTGGTGCTTCCAGTGTCTTTGATATGCCCTCGCTAGCCGAATTAGAGAAAATGAGTGTTTTATGCATTGGTCGTAGAGGCTCCACCGTAAACACTGGAGACGTAAGGAGAAATCAAATCAGCCTTGTCACGAATTCGATCATTAGGTTGCGTATCTTCCCAATTCTTTCATTCAACGTTCATAGTAATTTCGCGCCACTTTTCATTTGAAAATGTTTAACCTCTGTCCGTCAACGGAGAAAGTTAAAATAAATTTAAGTTTTCATACGATAACGAATATTTTGACAACTGTATGACTAACCTTACTTTTTTGGACAAATTTGGAACATTTAACGCTATTCCGAAGTGGATATTCTCTTTCCAGTTTATATACAGGGTGAGTCTTAAATATGTGCAAATATTTTCAGGGCTGGTAGATCTCGATACAGGAAACATATTTTCTCTTTACCGTTTTTCAAATCAGTCCAAAATAACCGAGTTATTCAAGTTAGAAAATTTTTAAAAAATTGACTTATTTAAAAAAAATGACAGCCACCAGATTTTTTCTGTATTTGCATCCCTTTTAGTGCCATAACCAGTTCTAAAAGTGCAGTTCTAAAAAAATTCTAAAATATACAGGAAAATTTAAAAGAAAATTCACGATTTTTAACATCTTTTTTTGTTATAAAAAACCTCAAAGACGTGGTTCCGGGGTCGAAGTATACAACCCCTAAAAATATTTGCACTTCTTTAAGACTCACAGTGTATAAGTAATTTTACATTTTAAAGTGTGATAAAAAATTAGTAATAACTGGTATAGCCAGAATTATTAGTGCTGCGTGCAGCTTCAAAGGCGAAAGGCGGCAAGTGTTACAAAATATACTTACTTGTTGTTCGCGACTCTTCTATTATTACACTAAACAAAAAAAAATAAAACTAAAAGGTTTTGATTCGGGATATTTTTGTAAACCGTAAATACCGAGGCGCTTATCATAATTATTAAATGAAATGAGGCTCACTAACACTGAAAAATAATTTAATTTCTTAAGAATGCCCAATAAAAGCATTCAGAATTTTCCTGCTATTGTCGGACCTACCTATACTAACAAAAACTTATTTTGTGAGAGAACCCATCTCTCATGTTTATCGCCAAAGCGAAAATTTGAACATTTTTGACCAATCACAGTTCGTGTTATTTGATAAACGGAGTAAAAGTGTGCACACCAACTTTTATGGCTTTCTCTTATAGTATGTTAATATTGAATATAAATTATTTTTAACTATTTGTGTTAAGCTATATCAAAACTATTTGTAATCCTCAATACAGGGTGGCCCATCGAAAACGTTCCGCAAGGCATAACAGCCAGGGTATATTTTTTTCAAAAAATCCAAAAACACGTCAATTTTGTTTGTGAGGGGGACAACTTTTGGCCCAAAAATGATTGCAAAATCTTCAACCCTCTAAGCGGGGGTGTCATCCCCCAACTTTTGTCAAATGGGAAGGGGGGTCAAGTGGCGCCGCAATGAAAATGGCTTTCTATTCTCTATATTTCCCCGCTTCGCTATTAAAAATCGGTCGAGTCGTTTTGAAAATATGAAGGATTGAAATTTGAAAAGTACTTTTTGCAAAAAAACGCATAAATTGAATTAATTAAAAAAACTTAACTTATTAATGAAGCAAATGCTGAAAATGTTGCCCGTCAACTTCCATACAGTAATACAAACTATTTTCAAACCGTTCTTGAACATTCTGAAGAACTTGCGGGGTCACTTCGCGACAAACATCAATAATTCGTCTTCGCAGGTCTTCTAATAAGGCGGGTGGAGTGCTATATACTTTACTTTTTATGTCTCCCCATAAAAAAAGTCTAAAGGAGTCAAGTCGGGTGACCGGGGAGGCTAGTCAATTGCACCCCTTCGTCCTATCCACCGACCGGGAAAGTTATTGTTCAAAAATTAAGCACATTTTGAGAGCAATGTGGAGATGCACCGTCTTGTTGAAATATCAGTTCCGCTTCAACGTATCCAGGATTGTTCTCTATGATGTCAGTTAGGGCTGGGTCGATGGTATTTTTCAGTAAATCCAAGTACATATCATCTGTTGGATTTCCAGGAAGAAAAAAAGGACCTACAATAGAATTTCCAAAAATACCAACCCACACGTTCAATTTCTGAGGGTTTTGTGTGTGCACCTCGTGAAAAATCCTGGGGTTAGGTTAGCCCAGTACCGACAGTTGTGCCGATTAACTACACCATTCAAAAAGAAAGTACACTCATCCGAAAAACACACATTAAATAGGAAATTATTATCATTCGCCACTCGTTCACTCATAGTTTCACAAAATTGCAAGCGACGATCAAAATCGTCTTCGTTGAGTTCTTGTACCAACTGAATTTTGTACGGGTGTAACTTGTGTTTTTTTAATATCCCTTGGACACTTGTACGATTCACGCCGGTCTCAGTGACTAATTTTCTTGTACTCAGCGTACTATCCATGGCAACTTGGCCCAATACGAATACCTCCATAGCTTCATTTACTACAGGATTTTCGCTCTACCTCATTTTATTCATAACGAAACCAGTTTTTGCTACTAACTCGCGAACAATTTTGCCATAACTTGTCAGGATGGCGTTCATTGAATATCCGCGCAACCCGATTGCCACATTCATTATTTTTAAAATTTAGTTCGATTATTTCCACTTTTTCTGCAAGTGGCGCACAATTTCTGCACGCACAAGTTACAGACCAGCTATCTAGCAACTACCCTACCTGATCGTTCAACCTTGTGGCAAGTGAAAAAAGGCGTAAACATCTGGAAATAATAAGAAAAAACAGCAAATTGGTTGAAGGAATTTATCCTTATCATTTACTCTGATAAATGTTTAAATAAACTTTTCAAATTTCAATCCTTTATATTTTCTCAATGACTCTACCGATTTTCAAAAACGAAGCGGAAAAGTATAGAGAATAGAAAGCTCTTTTCATTGCGGTACCACTTGACCCCCCTTTCCATTTGAAAAAAATTGGGGGATGACACCCCCGCTTAGAGGGTTGAAGATTTTGCAATAATTTTTGGGGCAAAAGTTGTCCCCCTCACAAACAAAATTGACGTGTTTTTGAATTTTCTGAAAAAAAAATTACCTTGGCCGTTATGCCTTGCAGAACGTTTTCGATGGGCCACCCTGTATAAAACATTACATAGGTATAAAAATAAAAATCAGCTTGTTTGATAATAAATTACATCAAATTAAAACAATCTATATTTAATATCAATTAAACTTTTAGTTACGTAATCGAGGGCGCGATTTTAAATTTATTGTTGCCAACCATGAACATATTCGGCGCCGGGCTGATTAACTCGAATTTAAATTTCCCATTGGGAATTCAGGTGGTAGCTCTGCTGTTAAAAATGTCAACTTGCCACATTTATTTAATTGTTTCCTGATATTGACATTCGTTTTGACACTTTAGTTTTGTATTATGAGTTTTTGGTTTAAATAATTAATATTGTGATACTTTTAGCTTAAAAATGTTTACTAGCAGATCATGTATATGTAATATAAACCTTTTGTAGTGCGAAGTGTATATGATAGCTTAATAGCCGTAAAAAACTAATCGCAACTTTATTAGAATATTTTGAACGGGAAACCGGTAGTAATGGCCCTTTATGTCACTTAAGTGCCAAAATATCTACATTTTGTTTTCTCTCGTATAAAAGACAGGTGAGAACTTTCATTTTTAATTTAGAAAAAGATACTAAAAAGTCAAATAATTCAGTTACAAACTGCTTAAAAAATCATCAAAATCGGTCCGCTAGAACACAATATATAAAACTTTAAAATACATCAAAATATCAAGGTGCCCGTTTTTCCTGCCGGTGAGTGTAGGTAGGTACTTGGTACTTACGTTGTTGGTGCCTCAACTTCTCTGTAAACGTGCGGATCATAGTCGTCCGATGCTCTTTCTGCCTTATTCGGGTCCCTAAAAAAATAATATAAACATCAAATTAACTCAACAATAACCTCACTAAACGTAAAACAAAAATAAAGTGCAAAACATAGACCTAAACGTAAATAAAAAATATAAAGTTTATACAAAACCCTTCACCTGGATTCTAAATCCATTCTAAACAAAAACTGCACAACGAATACCTCTCTAAATTTCTACTGAAGCCCATAGTTAACTCTAAATGCTCAGCTCAATACTGGCTGGTTCAAAGAGACGTGACGTCACCACTAGCGGATTCCTGCGATTTTTATTTTTTGTCGTTATGTCGCCATACAAAAGGCACTTCTTGCTAGTCGAGACGAGTACTGTTGCCAAACGTCGCAGAATTTAAGAAGACATTAATCACATACACAGGATTATTTCTAAGAAAGGTGTATAATTTATTGACTCTATATACATAGACTAATCCAGAGTGGCTTTGAAAATGGAAAAGTAGTAACAATTATATTATTGCAAGTGCTTGTTGTTTTAAAATTGAAATATTTTATGACAATGTCCGTTTCAAAACCAATTATACTAAACGTACACTAGATATACTGCATGATATATAGGCTGTATGATTATGATATACTAGCTATACATTTGATATACATCCAATGTACAGGCTTGGTGCATGATATATGATTGCCAATATTAAAAAAATGTTGGAAAATACCTTCAACATATAGATAAATGCATAAATACTCATATAAACTGATATAAACCTAGTTTTAGCATTTTCCAAGGTATTGTGCGAAAATTTGATAAGTAGTTAGCTGGTTATTAAAAACAATTCGTCCAGCCCGAAAACATTACGTTTAAATCGATTGTCTCTTATCTAGTTAAAACTAAACACCATTTTCTTCAAATAGGTTGAATGAACTCTAACCAGTGGCGGATACAGAGGGGGGCCCATGGGGCCAGGGACCCCCCTAAAATCTATAAATTGGGTTAAATATTAGGCTTTTGGGTTAAAAATGGCGCTCTAAAAAGCATATTCTACATTACCGTTTATTTGGCCCCCCCCTAAAATACACTACAGGCCCTCTCTAAAATAAATTTCTGTATCCATTCCTGACTAACAACGTCTTAATATAATTCAAGTGATTTTTAGGCCAGAATTATAATCGATCAATTACTTAAATAAAGTAAATAAATTTAGATCGAGGAACAGATAGCATTTCACTTATCAAAGTCAGAATCTTCAAAAATTACAAACTCTTTAAAAATTAAAACCACCCTATTTGAAAAACTACTTTTCCAAGGTTTTTATTGCGATCTAGTGAGTTAAATTTAAATTGTACTTGCCCAAACCCGTGATAACATGTGAAAAAATGACATTCAAAATATCTAAAAAAGTACTGTGTAAAAAACTGCAAAAACCCAAGTTCTGTTAAACCACAGTTTAAAGAATATATACATATACAGTTGGTTCACTCTAAGGAATTCTATTGTTATTTTGACTTCAAAGGCGGCCCGTGACTCTTCGAGGTGACAAAAAATTTGTACGTTTACCCTATCAGCAGCGGAAGTGCTAATCAGTCAGAACGGTGGCCGTATACGAAGGATCAACTAAAAATACTAAAGAATTTTAATATAGCAAGTAGAAAAATAAAAATACAGTACTAGTTTTATTGATTAACAGTTTTAGGCGTCTTTAATAATTGATCAATATTTATTTACATTCATCTTATTATTATTTAATAACATATCTCATTGTTTACAAATATAAATACGATATGAGTGTGTTACCGTGTTACAACTTTTTTCCTCTAATACTACTCCCCAAAAGGTACCTACACAATCCGCCTAAAAAGTCATGGTCGACGAATTAAGCTGAGGTTTGAGTCTTCTCGTGTCCTTATTTACTGGACTATAACTGATTCAAATATCGCAATATGACTGATAATGCGGTAAAAGATACTAAGATTTTACAATTCCATACTACTAGTAATGACATCACCCCAAAAATGACGATGGTATTTAAGGAGGTATTGCTACATATTTCTACAATTATTATATGGGTATACAATATGTAGGCTATAATGGAAGTTTAAATTACCAAAGCTTATTACAAATTGTAATATAAAGAGCAGATATGTTTCTGGCGCTAGACAATGTACCATTAACGGTGGGTTCAAAAAATTTAAGATGAAGTTGGACGTGTGATACTTGTGTGACAGCTAATCAAATTCCAATAGAGTTTCCCGCGTCGCTCCAAAAGGGGCTACTTGATTATAAAACATTCTAATCATATACTATTACTCTTTATAATTTTTTGAGTGGATGAATTTTGAGCGACATTTCTACACCTTTGATATCATGTATCGTTTTAGCTACAGTATATGATAAAATATAAAGAATAATATTGGTCAATAATTAAAGTAATCAATATAATACGAGGTACACACGTGCAAAAACTTTAAGAACCCTCACAGACCCTTATTTCATTAATACAAACTAACTGTGCAGGATAGATTGTACAATTTAAACTGTCTGTCGCATTCAGTTTTATAGCACAATTTTATTAACAGTGACATACCTACTAATAGTTTCAGAACATTTTTTCTACAGTGAAATTGGCTTAACTCGGTAGAGTTTTGAATTTGCTGGCCAAACTTTGTCTATTCATACCTTTTCACAAATTCAAGCAGGGTGTGATTTCGCTCAGGTTATAGAGCCTGCACAGTCGACCAAAAGTTCCCAGACATGTGCCGATATGCCAGATGCCTGCACAAATCAGTTTTGCCTGTGCAAAAAACCGAGCGTCTGTGGGAGCCTTAAGGATTCATTTACATATACTGGTAAATATAAAAGTAAATTTGGCAAAACTTTTCTGAGAAGTCGTAGAAAAATGCTATAAAGATATCCAACGTACATACAGCTGTTGTAAATTTGATGACTTTATTATCAGAGTAATAACTTTTTATTATTACTATAACTAATTTCGTAAATTGTTCTGCTCTTATTAATTTAAAAATTCAAAAAATAAGTAAACTTATTCTTTTTAATTGATCAGGGATGTTGAAAAATATTATGGTAAGTATTAATTATTATTATCTTGTACACTCGAAAGGATGAATCAATGCTGGAGCTAAAGTAGATTTAACAAAAGCAAGTGAACAAAAAGCATAAAAAAGTATCATAAAAAATTAATATGTTGCCCTTCACCATTTTAAAAAGCTGAACAAAAAGGTGAAGAAAAAAAATTATCTGTATTTTACCGTTTCTCCAATAATGTCGAAGCCTCACTGGCATCTCTGAAAAAGGTATGTCCTGTGACTATTCAACTACTGATAGTTACTTAAAAAATATTTACACTATTCAATTATTGAATAAAGAAAAACAAATCACTTACTTGTTACCACCTATAGGTTCCAGCTTTAACGTTTCTTGGGTCATCTTGTAGTCGAAGCCACACGCCTATCCCCTTATAATATATTTATCTATCTATTCCCTTTTTCTTGTTAAATGGTTATTCTATATGTTGCATTTTGGTTAAATTTCCCTAGAAAAAAGAATTTGTTTTTACAATATGATCGAAAAAAAAACGGCGTCAAAGACGGCTGGGGAATGACAATCGATGATAATTTTGGCGAGGTCAAGCCATAGACGTCATTTATGTGTAATTTTACACATAAAATGACAGCAATCTTCATTTCATAGCCAGCGCTGACGCCGTTTTTTTTCGATCATACGGTATTTATTTTATTAGGAGTAATAATGACACTTTATGTGGCGAGACTGTTAGATACCATTGCGATCAAAAAAAAGTAGTACAACCAAAATATTACGTTTGACGACATACAGCCGAGACACAAAAAGTCATTTTTATTCCGAAAAGAACATGCAATCTTTTTTCAAACGCTACAAATAATTTTTCAAACGTTCCGAATAATATAAAAAGATTAAAAAGTATTAATACCTTGTATGTAACGATATGTCAAGAAAAGAAACTATGGTTACGCTCGTTGAATTTGATACTTTATGTCAGATTAATAATATATTTTCGTACTTTTATGCTTAGGCGTAAAAGTGCTTTACTTTTTTTATGCCTAGGCGTTAAAATTACTTTTTTATATTGTCCATCGCATCGGAAAAATTAATACTTTTGTGACGTTTGAAAAAAAAATTATGCATAGACGTAACAGTAGATAGTTTTTTGCTTAGTAAAAGAAATCGCCCGTTTATATTGTCAATCATATAATAAAAATTAATAGGCACTTTTAAACGTTTGAAACAAAAATATAAATTTTTAAATTGAAATTTCGAGCAAACTGAGGAGGTAATGATCCCACTCGTTACTTTTTTCAACAGGGGATGTAGCTCAGTGGTAGAGCGTTCGCTTTGCATGTGAAAGGCCCCGGGTTCGATCCCCGGCATCTCCAAAACTTTTTTATATTTTATGAACTCTTTTTTAATTCTAATTTCATATTCTACACAAATTCAAAGTTGGAAAATAAAATAAAATTAACAATAAAATTAACTTTGCTAATTATGCAGTTTTATTACATGGAAATTACATGCAAATTATGGTAAAATCGTAAAATCTGCATGCAATGCAAAATATAAGTACAAAAAATCGGCAGAAAAAATCTCTGAACAATCTTTTATTTTCCTTATTTTCTATTATACCATTATTCAGGGTTTGACGCGTTGATAGTAAGCATTTTTTTATATAAAAAATTATACCAAAAATGTCCAAAAGTTGTTCTGTGTTGAAACCCAAAGCACATAATTCATCATAATTACTTCTTGAAATAATTATGATGAATTATTAACAATGTATAATATGATTTGAATAAGTTTCATATAATTTGATATTTGCTCAAGAAGTGATCTTCATAGCCATCGCTGACACCGTTTTTTTTTATCATATTGCATAATAACAATGTCAAATATGCAATTAAATTTTCCAAAAAATGGACATCGAAGATTTCTACAATTTCAGCGTTATTAAGAATAATTATTTAAAGCAATTTTCAACTCGGTTACGGTATTGAACTTATTTTGTATAGCATATTATGTACGTATGATCTAAGAAAACGGTGTCAAGTTGGCTTGAAAATGGCATTTAAATGACAGCGATCTTCTTTTCCAAGCCAACTCTGACGACGTTTTTTTTCGATCGTTCATGATATTTTAAAACATGACTATATGTATTTTGTTAAATTTATATGTTTTGTCATAATTAATACGAGATACAAAGTTTAAAAAAAAGGTAGTGACTATAGTGATATTTTTTAATCGGTTCTTAATGTTTTTTTACATATTCTGTCTAATTATTTTGAACACACTGTATACGTACGATTATAACAAATATCGTGGTTAATCTAATATTTGTTTCAATCTCATATGCTAATAATGAGTAGGTGTATTAAAAAAGATATTACAAATTTTTATCCTTGCATACAGTGATGTCAACTCGTATGAATTTTCCTGATTCGTGGGAAATTTCGAGATCCAGAGAAAAGTGGGAAATTTTAACCCACACGCCATATTCATGAGAAATTCTTGATTGATAACGTTGCATTATTATTGGAAAATAATGGCTTTTCGTTAACACGTCAGTATAATGTCTAGTTCGTCGGATAAAAGCGTAAATGAAATGCAACGAAAGACACACACCCTTCTCCCAATATTGTCTATAATCATGATTTTGAGTAATTCGTGGGAATTTTTAGAAAAAATGAAAAATTGTTTGGCCGTTTTCCTGGAAAATTCTATTTCGGAAAGTTGACAACACTGCTTGCACAGGTTTAATTCTAATATTGTTTTCCTCGCAGCCTGATTCTGCTAATTTTTGTAACTGATATTAGTAATGTTATACTTTATGCATATTTACATACCATATAAAATTACTTATAGGTACATAATATAAAAGCATGAAAAAGAAATAAAGACAATAGAATTATTATTATAATAAAGTTAAGTAGCTAATTAAATGTAGTAAAATAATATCAAAATGGAATATAACCTGCCAGACTTACCGCGTAGTAGTTTTTTTTTTCAGAAAAATTAAACACAATTTACATTTCCCAAAAATTTAATCATATATTTTTAGAATAAAATAAATTCAAAACAAACACAAATAAAAATAAATTTAAATAATAACATAAATAGAAATACGGACACATATATAGACAAGAATCAAAATAGTAGATAAGAAAACACTTCTATTGTTTAAACTTATACAGGTGGAGTCTTAAATAAATGCACATATTTTTCGTGGTGCTATATTTCGATCCCATACTGGACCCCAACACGCCTATGAGGATTTTTCGCGAAAAAAAAAAAATGTTCAAACTTTTGTATTTTTTGAAAAAATTAACTTTCATTACAGTTGGGGTTGGAACCTTTGGTGTTACAACAACAAAATAAAACACTAAATCACCACAATACGCCGAAACACAGTGTAAAAGTAAATGTTTTGGTGTATTGTGGTGATTTAGTGTTCAATTAACTTTCAGTTAAAAAAATAATATCTTGATAATATGGTAACATAGGTGGTAGATAAAGTTTAGAGGATATAAAGTGGTTCTGAAAATTTAATTTATTTTTTTATTCGATTTTATCCAGATAATTTCTGAAGTAACGTCAATATTTGGATGAAAATTGGTGTCTGGGAGTTTTTTGACATGACAAATTTGATTTTGATATCAATATGACTCTTATTTGTAGGGGGCGCCACCTACATGTGTTTTAATTGTTTTGAAGAGTCATAATTTTTCGTCCGTACCTGTATAAAACTACTGAGTGAAAAAATATACATTCCAGTGACTTTCTACGTAAAAAATGTCTCTTGGTAAAAATGGCTACGAGCAACCGTTCTCAAGATATTTAGAATGGAAATAGTCAATATATGTGATTATTCACAAAAAATAAACGCGTTAAGTAGATAGTTATTTGACTGAAATAATAAATTTGGGAAATTTTTATTTTTTTTAAATTAATCATAAGTTTTTCTGCGAAAAATGATGATAAAACAGTTTCTGTTGAACTTTTGGCACAAAAATATTTCAAATTTATGATTTCAATTTAATAACTATTTAGTCAACATGTTTAATTTATGTTAATGATGACAGGTATTGATAATTTCGATTCAAAATATCTGGAGAACTATTACTCGTAGCGATTTTTACCAAAAGACCTTTTTTAAGTAAAAAAAAAACTCGTAAATGTATATTTTTTAATCGGTAGTTTTATACAGGTACGAACGAAAAGTTATTATTCTTCAAACCAGTTAAAAAATATCTAGGTGGCGCTCTCTACAAGTAGGAGTCATATTAACATCAAAATCAAATTTCGCATGTCAAAAAACTCCCGCAGACACCAATTTTCATCCAAATATTAACGTTACTTCATAAATTATTTGGAAAAATTTTTGAAATAAAAATGAAACTTCTACACCCTGTATCTCTGAAACTAAGCATTTTAGGATATACATTTATACGAACATTTTTAATTATTTTTATCTGCAGAATATGCTGCCCAAGTTTCCGGAATACAGTTCGGACCACCCTGTATATTTTGTACGTCTGCTTTGCAAAAATAAATTCTCCAAAAATTTGTTTCACAAAAACTATGCGATGTAGCGTTTTTTTTATAGTAGCGTTTATACTAAATACTAGAGGGACTATTTTACGAAAAGAAAATCAGTCGTCGGTGGAGTTTGAAAATATTAATACACAAAATTTATGCAGGGATTGAGAGGTAGTTTTCATCGTTCCCGTACTTTTTCTTGATTTTTGTGAAAGCCAAATGTTAAAGCACTTAGAAAAATATAGACACTCAAAATCTCATTCAAATCGAAAAAAAAATTCTTAAAATATCTTTAAAAAAAAGTGTTTATTTTTTTAAAATTTGATAGTCTCTAGCACTTTTCTAGACAAACAAAGCACTTTTGTATAGAGGTAAATTGTCCGCAATGAACTTGTTTTGATTCCAAAAATACGTAGTATTACTATGTCCACGGAATATTGGGATACCCTGTATATGCATTTATTTAAGACTAACCCTGTATAACCAAATGACGGCTTTAATAATGGCTTTAAAAAAAATTGTCACATTTCAAAAGAATCAAGTCGGACAGACAAAAAAAGAGCCAGAATGTGTAAAATTTAGAAATTTAAACAAACCCAAACCCTTCACTAAATAAAATTAAAAAAAATGTACAGAAAAACTTACATACTCAAAAAAGTGTTTTTGTTTAAAATGCAAACTTCTTTTTCTTTGCCAAACTAGACATGCAATAAAGACACACCACATAACTACCTAAAAGAACAGATCTTCCTTAGCCACTAACTAGATCACACGATCACTATAACCGGCTATGTTGTATTTCGAATAAATAATTAAATTAGTTAATAAAAAATAAACGCACACAGTTTAATCGAAAAATTTAAAGCTGCTTCGCTCGAACGACGAGAGGAAGTCAGTCCATTCGCGATTTGTATTACATGTGCTGTGCAACTTCGGGCCCAGACTAAAATAATGAGTACGCTTTCTTGTAGGGGAAACTGGGACGTACCGGGACAAAACTTAATATCTCGTTATCTTTTGAGTTTATTTTTGTTTCTATTTGATTATACAGGACGTTTCAAAAAACATGTGCTATAAAATGCCGTAAAATGTGCCGTAAAAATAAGAATTATTTTTCATATTAATATAAGTCCGATTCCGCTTTGTTTCGTAGCTACAGGGTGTTAAAGGCTTAATATTTTTTTGATTTGTTATAATTTTCTTTGAAATACTTTTAGCGTTTCGAATGAAATTTTGAGGGTAAAAGTTACTATAAATATAGTTTAAAGCTAAAAAAGTGTCGACATATTCACCAGGGTCGTGCATATGGGATATCACTGCAATACTATTCTAAAAAAAGCATGTACACCACTGACTTTTTTTGTCTTGCTAGCGAAATAGTGTAAACAGTTTAAAGGGCTCGAACACACTGACGACCAGGTCGCACCGGCCAGGCCGCTGCTACCTTTAAAACCATTAAATCAAATGAGACAGCGCACACTAACGTCCTGGCCGTCCGTTGGTCGTTGCGACCAGTAGACTGCACTAAAATATTATTATTTTCTGCCGCTTGTTGCCGGTTTTCTTCCAAATTAATAATTTTTCAGATGAAATCCCTCAAATTCAACGCACAATATTTTATTTTCCTTTTATAAGATATAGTGTTTTAGTGTAATTTTTGCACACGTGCAGAAAATCCAAAGAAATAGTGTACAGACTGGATCAAAGGGAAACTTAAATCTAGTCCCTTTTTTTGTCAAGGGTCGATTCTAGTAAAAATTCAAAACATTTTTATATGACATACCTACTCTATTTATGGTTGGTATGATACCTGTTATTATACCTTCGAGTTTCGATGGTTAAAAAATTTAAAAAAATAATATTTAAAGTTTTTCTACAACCACATGTTTTTATTATTAAATTAGTTTTTTTAGTTGTATTGTAGTCATGTACAAGGAGGACAACTGTATTTTAAATATTATATTTAACGTTTTTCAAACAGGGTTCATTGGACTATATTTCTACTAAGTACATTACTTTTAAAAAAATTAGGAGTAAAAGTAACTTAAACATTCATAAAAATAGAAGTAATAATTACTGTTGTAGATTCTCAGTAACAATAAAAAAGAGGAATTTATATTGTAAACATTGAAATAACTGGAAGCTAAACTTTCTACCTGCTTATATTTAGAGCCAGTGTCTGACGACCTTTTTTACGATGGCCCTAATATGTTTACTTCTAAAGTCGATAAGAGCCATCAGTAGAAGTCCATATCAGTAGAAAAAAGAAACAGAATATCTCCCTTTTTGTCGGTCGCGCATACAAAATGCTCTTTGTTCAGCCTATTTGTTCTGCTTGTTCGTGCGCGCTCGGTTCATTCGGGCTAAAATGTCTGGACGCACCTTTAGGAACAATACTGTCTTTGTCCTTTATTGATATAATTTTGGATATAAAGCTGAAAATCTCTCGAGATACATGTCTCACTCTACACATATTAAATTACATAGACGTAAGATGTAGAATATTCTGTTATGAAACTACTGATGGAATAGCAGGCATCGCGGATTTGAAAAACATGGAAATAACGGGGTTGGAGATTTTACTTGCTCCATTTACCACACCAGTATTTATTAACGAAAAATCCAAGAATATTTTAAATGCATTATTTAATATTAGAACATTTAATAAGCTCATGAATAGCAACTTCGCTTTTTAGTTAACTCGGATATTTTAACATTTCTGAAACAATATTTTCTAATTGGTAAAACGTAAAAAATTGTTAGATCTGACAACTCTGTTGAAACTGGTCGTTCATCTGGCCGTAGATATAAACGCAATGTATCCAGCCAGCCGACGGCCAGGTCGTTGCGACCTGGTCGTCAGTGAGTTAGAGCCCTAATGCCGATTAAAAGTTGTTTCTTGATATTTTGTCGATTCCGGCCTCCTTGACGAGATCAACGCAATTCTATTAGTTTGCCTTGATCTAAGTCTAATAACAAACCTTTAAAAACATTTAATATCATTAACTTGCGAAAGTTTTTAAATAAGTACTCATTGATTCCTCATCAAAAAATATGAAAAAAGTTCCTATAAACATGCCTATGGAAATGCATAGTTTTCATCCTGTAACTCTACAGGATGTTAAAATTTTTTTAAATAAAAATTACCTTAAATACTATTATTTTTTATTTGAAATTGCTGTAGGTTGGACTAATAGTAATAATAACTAATAGTAAAAATATTTAATAATAAATTAGGTAAACTATATAATTTATTAATTTTATTCTTATTTTAATTTTATTAATTGTTATTAATACAATTGCGTTTATCTCATCAAGGAAGCCGAATTCGACAAAATATCAAAAGATAACTTTTAATTGGCATTAAAACGCCTCGACAATTTAGATACCAAAAAAAAATCAGTGGCGCACATGCTTTTTTTTGAAAAATATTCCAGTGATAATATGCACGTCTCTGATGAATTTATCGGCACTTATTTAGCATTAAAATATGTAGCACTTATAATAATCTGCCATTATATGTGTTGATATGAAAAATAAATCTAATGTTTACGTAAGGAATCTCCCCACGAGAAATGGCACATATTTTTTGAAACACCCTGTAGTCTGTAGAAATAATTGATTTAAGAAAAAATATGGAATTTGTTCGGTTTATAAACTGGCTTTTGATAATTTTTGTGAATATAAGTTATCGCAGTTCTTACAATTCACAAGTTTATATTTATTTATACTAGCACTAATTAAGCACTGAATAACAAAGAAAGGCCGTAAAAATAGAGTAGATACGATAAGATAGAAGAATAGCCAATTATAGGGCCAATTATAGCAATTAGATAGAAGAATAGCCAATTATAAAGCCAATAGATAGAAGAATAGAAGAAGACCAAATCTGAGATGGGAAAATTAGCAGGAATCACTTGGGCCCGTAGAGTCGACAATAGATAAAAATAGGCCCAAATAATGGGCGGAAGTAATGGTGGCATATTGTATTGGTATACTCTTTTACAAAGATTTAAATATTTTTCTTTTCCTAAACAAATGGTCTACAGCATCTGTACAGGGTGGGTCAAATTCGACGCTTTTAAATGGAAACGCCCTTTTCTATAGGAGATAGACAAAAACTGATATCGGTGTCTGGAGCTCAATTTTCATCAAAAACATGATGGTGAACCGTACATCAATAACTGTTACCGTTTCGGAGTTACGGGGTGTTTTTCAAAAATGTGCATTTTTAACAAATTGCTGTAACATTTTTGCTACGGAAAATTTTGTTTTTCTATGAAAACATTTCCAAAGCACTTTTTTACGTAGAATTTAATAGTTTAAGTATATTTTTTTTATATTAATAATTTAAGAGTTATCAACAGAAAAATTGATTTTTTATTTGGGACACCCTCTATATTTTTAATTAACTGAAAATAATTTAAAATTACCTTTCCAAAAATATAGCACACTTGATATTTTGTTATAATTCCCTTCGAAATACAGAATTTTTAAAAGTTCGCCACTTTTAACTAGTAGGCTAAATGGAACTCGAAAACATATTTTTCCAGCAAGACGACGCACCGCCTCTGAACGTTGAAGTTATCGGCAAATTTTTGCAGCCAATTTCAAGAATAATTGAACCAAGATCCCAAACCAAGATCCCAGCCGTTGGCCGTCGAGGCCGCCTGACTTAGGGCCCATGGATCTAATCCTATGGATATATTTGCGGAAGAATAAAGGTTCCTTATTCTTCGGTATAATCTAGACAAGAATTAGAAATACTTAGCAGTTATGAGAGGGTATCTTTCACCCCCACTGAATTAATGATTCCGCGAGAAATGTTCAAAAACTGCCCCGTCTGTCCATAATAGAAGACGGTCGATATGTCGAACACCTGTAGCAAAATCTCATGTCTTGGTTTGCTATTTATTTTTATTGTTATTATATACATATAGTTTAAATGTGTTGGTGTTGGTTAAATATATTTTAAATGGTTATAAAATTCTGCATCTCTCATAGCAAATATTATTTTCGTTTTAATTGATGCTCACAGATAAGCCTACTTATTTAAAGCGGGCGAATTTTTATATACTCTATATCTCGAAGAGGAATCGAGCAAAATATTAAATGTGTTATATTTTTGGAAAGGTAATTTTAAATTCTTTTCAATAAGTTAAAAATATACAGGGTGTCCCATATAAAAAATCAAATTTTCTGTTGATAATTCTTAAATTATTAATTTTAAAAAAATTATACTTAAACCATTAAAATCTACGTAAAAAGGTGCTTTGGAAATGTTATCATCAAAATACAAAATTTTCCATAGCAAAAAAGTTACAGCGATTTGTTAAAAATGCATGTTTTAGAAAAACACCCCGTAACTCCGAAACGGTAACAGATATCGATATGCAATTTTCACCATCATGTTTTTGACAAAAATTGAGCTGCAGACACCGATATTAGTTTTTGTCTATCTCCTATAGAAAAGGGTGTTTCCATTTAAAAGCGTCGAATTTGACCCACCCTGTACATTTTGTAAACTTGTTATTTTTGAAAAAAAAAATCTAAAATGTCAATATTCCATGGGTATATTGATCCATAAGGTCTAAATTATAAGAAAAAGCATTTTCTACAAAAATTTAAAGAGATAGGTAAAATATAGTATAATACAATTTGACAGACAATTAAATTGTGCATCGGATTCATGCAAAATATACTGGGTGTTCCTTTTAAATTAAACAAGTGATTGCCGTTTACATCTAGTAATTATTTAAAATAAATTTTTAGACATTCTGTGTAAGGTAGTATTATTTTTATAACACAACACAAAATTTAGTAAATAGAAAAACATCAGTACAATATTTGGTTTAAATTATTTAAATATGCCTAGAAAAATGAAGCATTAAAATTGTTACTGCATTTTCACAAAATCGTCAATATTTCAACAACGATAAGATTAAAGTGCTGTAAACC